AAAGGCGCTGGCTATGTCACCCACCAGGGGGCCAAGACCAGAAAGCTGCTCCTTCCACACCTAGGGAGTCAGACTCAGCAATGGCCTCCTGGACGGATTTAGCTCAGACCCCGGCGACCCCGGTCTTGACAGAGAGGGGGCCCCAAAGGGACGGAACCCCCGCCCCTGCCCGGAATGAAGCTGCACCATTTTCACCTGCGGTGCCATCACGCAGCCCAGCCCCATGCACAGCAGCGCAGGGGGGGGGCCCACCACCGCCATCACAATTGGACTTTCAAGCCATGTTTTCCATGGCTCTGTCTTTGTTCTTAGCCGCCAGTTGGCAGCAGGCGGTACCGCCAGCTCAGCCAGCACAGGTCCAGGGGTCTCACCAACAAGTCCAGAACAAGACCTTCGCCCCCTTAGCACGAGAATCCTCCGAGGAGTCAGATCAAGCAGACGAGGCCCCTGAGGACATCGAGTTCTCAGAGGATGAAGGGCTGAACCAGCGTTCACCGGGCTTTTTCGACCAGCACTCTTTAGGTCGCTCCTTCACAAAGCGCGACTCACGACTAACCTGGGAGTGCCGGGGGAGGTGAAGTCAGTCCCACCTTCTGCAGCGGGGCCCCACAATGCCCTGTTCAAGTCGTCCAAACAAGAAAAGGACAGCATCCCCTGTCCGCAGCTGTTTTCTGATGTCATCCAAAACGCCTGGGGGCAACCGGCTTCTCAAACTACACCGAGCAGCCTGGACAAGAAACTCTACTGTTCGGCCCCAGAACTGGAGGATCTTCTACTCCTCCCGAATGTGGACCAGCCAGTCGCAGCGCTCTCATCCCCATCGCTAGTCTCCACAGAGGCACTGGATGGGCTCAAGGCGGAGGAGAAGAGGACGGAGTGGGCCTTCCGTAAAACACACCAGGCAGTGGCCTGGGCGATCAGAACATCCACTGCCACGTCCTTTTTCAATAGAGCGGCCCTCATTTGGCTATGCCAGATGCAAGAAAGACTCCCCCCGGAGGACACCAGGCTGCAACAAGATATCAACAAGATTATTGCAGCCACCGAGTACGCCTCTGATGCCTCCTTAAACTCGGCAAAGTTTGCATCACGGGCCCTAGCCTCCACCGTCACGGCTAGGAGGCTGTTCTGGCTGCGCCCCTGGAAAGCGGACCTTAAAACCAAATGGAAGCTGGCCGCAGCTCCCTACAAGGCACCGAATCTCTTTGGAGCAGCCCTGGATCCGGTCCTAGTCGAGGACAGGGATAAGAGGAAGATACTGCCATCGTCTTACCGCCGCCAGGAGCGGAGGTACTCCCCATACCCAGTTCAACAGCCCTTTCGGCCTGGCTCAAGGCCCAGGGGGTCCTTCTCGCACCGCTCCAATTACATGGGAGGTGACAGATCACATGACAGGCATCAGTTCCGGGACCGGGGCAGGAATCAGCAATCCAGAAGACCCTTCCAGGGAGCAGGCTTCAAACCCGCCAGGAGGGGGAAGTGACTCCAAGACCGAGGGGCCCATAGGGGGAAGACTGCTCCTCTTCCACCAGCAATGGGCCCGGTCGACATCGGACTCGTGGGTAAGGCGCACCATCTCATTTGGACTATCAATAGAATTTGCAGTTCCGCCGCCTCAGCGCTTCGTATGGTGCCCGGTCCCACAGTCCTCCGAACTACAGGCCCTAATGACGCAAGAACTGACCCATCTTCAGGAGGTGAGAGCCATAGAGATAGTACCACCAGCCCACCAGGGCTCCGGGTTCTATTCAAGCCTGTTCCTCGTCCCCAAGAACTCGGGGGGATGGAAGGCCATCCTGAACCTAAAAAAGCTGAACCTGTCTGTGCGATACCACAAGTTCAAAATGCATTCACTTCAATCGATTCTAACGGGGGTGAGACGGGGGGACCTTCTCCAGTCAGTCGATCTTCGGGAAGCTTACCTCCATGTTCCCATTCACCCAGACCACAGAGGTTCGAATACGGGGGCCAGCACTTTCAGTACCGGGCCATGCCTTTTGGACTATCATCAGTACCCCGCACCTTCACCAAACTGGTGGCGGTGATGGCAGCCAAGCTTCGAGCCATCCCAGTCCGAGTCCTCTGCTACTTAGATGACATCTTGATACTCTCATCAACTCACGACCAAGCAGTCAAGGACTTAAACCTGGTCCTCGAATCGTTTCGAAACCACGGGTTTACAATCAACCTCGAGAAAAGTCACCTTCAACCTTCCACTCGAATTCTCCACTTAGGGGCAGTAATAGATTCCTCCAAAGGGCAGGTCTTCCTATTACCAGACAGGGTCCAGAGTCTCCAGCAACTGACCCTTCAAATTCTGTCAGGGAGGAAGGCCACCCTCCTCCAACTATCATGCCTCCTGGGGAAAATGGTCTCTTGCTTCGGCATAGTTCCGTGGGCACGCAAACACTCGAGGGCACTCCAATGGTTTCTACTCCCTTTCCAACGCTCGGGGAGGGCCAACTTGAAACGCAAAGTTCACCTCACCCCCAAGGTGCGTCTATCCCTCAGATGGTGGACATCCACTTCGCTCCTCAAGGGCTCAGAGTTCCTGGACCCGGACAGACTGATCCTCACCACAGGCGCAAGTCTTCGAGGGTGGGGAGCACATCTGCACAACGGGGTGGCCCAGGGCCAGTGGTCCAGGGGCGAGCAGCGCAACAGCATCAACCTGCTGGAACTCTGGGCGATCAGATTAGCCCTGCGCCACTTCCAGACCATGGTTCAGGGCCGACACGTACTGGTCCTGACGGACAACATCTCGGCCAAGGCGCACGTGAACAGAGAGGGAGGCACGAGGTCTCGCACCCTGATGCTAGAATCCGAGGTCCTATTCGAGTGGGCAGAAAAACATCTACTCTTGATCAAGGCAGACCACATTTCAGGGTCAGCCAACGCAAGAGCAGACTGGCTCAGTTGAACAACGATAGACCAGGCGGAATGGCAACTCCACCCCCGCCTCCAGGTTCGGGAGACCAGTGGTGGACCTGTTTGCGTCTCCAACCAATGCCCAGCTCCCTCGATTCGTGTCACACTACCCTACGTCACAAGCAGAAGACCACGACGCCCTTCACTGCAAGTGGCCAGCAGGCCTTCTGTATGCATTTCCACCAGTCCCTTTGATCCCTCACCTGGTTCGGAAGTTGCTGGCAGAGAACGCCGATCTACTCCTGGTGGCCCCAAATTGGCCTTGAAGGCCGTGGTTCACCGACCTGGTGGCCCTGTCGGAGCAACCGTGGGTGATCCCGCCACACCAGGTGGTTCTGTGCCAGGGCGAGGTCAACCACCCAGAACCTCAGTGGCTCCAATTACCGTCTGGCACTTGAGCGGGTCATCCTGAAGAAGGACAACTTACCTGATAGCGTCGTCAACACTATTCAGGCGGCCAGATGCCCGTCAACAACTCGTATCTACGAGGCATCCTGGAAGGCCTTCTGCAGCTGGAGTTCGGGGCACCATGTGGATCCCACCACGGCAACGATTCAAGACATTCTACTGTTTCTACAAGCAGGGTTAGACAAGGGGCTGGCCCCAGCGACCCTAAGGCATCAGACTGCAGCCTTATCGATGGTCATCTCTTGTGCACCATACCAGACTCTATCACATCATCCACGTATCAGAGGGTTCCTTCACAGGGCAACGAACTTACACCCACCGGCAGTGCACCGTTACCCGACTTGGGATCTATCACTAGTTTTACGGGCCCTGACAGGCCCTCCTTTCGAACCGCTGGACTCGGCCACCCTCAAACACCTGACCCTCAAGGTGGCCTTCCTCCTAGCGATCACCTCAGCGAGGCAAGTCTCAGATTTAGCGGCTCTTTCTGTTCGTAAAGACCTCTGCATTTTCAAGGATTCCTCGGTGATCCTCCGTCTGGACCCGACCTTCATCCCAAAAGTGAATTCCTGGTTTCACCGGGCCCAGGAACTTATCCTGCCAGACTTCTGCCCATCGCCGAAAGACCACAGGGAGAAGCGCTGGCACACCCTAGATGTCCGTCGGGCGATTCGGACATACATACACAGTACTGCCTCCTTCCGTCACACAGAAGCCCTCCTGGTTTCGTTCAACCCTGCTTCCATGGGCCAGAAGATCTCGGCCCCCATGGTCAGCAGATGGATCAGGGCCTGCATTGCGCTAGCTTATGACTTGAACTCCAGGCCGCTGCCGGGCAACATTCTGCCCCACTCAACTAGAAGCACGGCCACGTCTGCAGCCTGGGCTACACAGGCTTCTGTAGCTGATATTTGCAGAGCAGCGACCTGGTCCTCCGTCTCGCCCTTCATTCGGCACTACAAGATAGACGCTTATGATTCAGCCGAGGTGGTGTTCGGCCGCCGGGTACTCCAGCGGGTTGTGACTGGAGAGGACTCTGTGGGCAGTCAGCCCCCTGCCCAGGGGGTTTAAGCTTGGGTATATCCCATTCATGGATAGTGGGAGCAGCGCACAGGAAAATGGACGTTGTCTTACCTGAACGTCCCTTTTCTGGGCGCTGCGTACACTATCCATTTCCACCCATATCTTTGGGCTTCCTGCCCGGCGATGATCTTCCGTTATACAGTTTTGACCATGTTGAATCTGGTTTGTTAATAAAGTTTATGGTTATTACTACATCCTGGTCTTGTCATTGGTTTTTCGCCACACCTTCGCTCAGACTGGGGTATTATGGGAATGGGGGTGTGACTGGGCAGCGGGGAAAGGGGAAGTCCTTGTTTTTGTCTTTATTTAACACTCAGTTGTTTGCCAAAGGCTGAAGCATTAACCCTGAAGCATTAACCCATTCCCATTCATGGATAGTGTACGCAGCGCCCAGAAAAGGGACGTTCAGGTAAGACAACGTCCAGTTTCTGCTGTTGTCAGTGTTCTTATCTGTCTTGAAGTATAAGCTGTTTTTAGTATAACTAAAATATGCAACTAGCAGAAAAGAAAATTAAGTTTGCATTCTGGTTGATGTAAGATTAGAAAACCTTTTTTTACTGAAACATTTGCATTTCAATTAGTGTCTTCTAGGGCAATGGCTTCCAAAACTCCAGTTGGATTTATTGGTTTGGGAAACATGGGAAATCCAATGGCAAAAAACCTTGTGAAACATGGTTACCCCATTATCGCATGTGATGTATTTCCAGAAGCATGTAAGGAATTCCAAGAGCTGGGTACCCAGGTATAGTAACATTTCATTGCTATTTTAGTTTTAAAAAGTGACTGTGAAATTTGAAAAAAATGTGATTGTGAAAAGTCATTGAAAGAGGCCACACACAAAAATCCATTTATGCTTTTGTCCAATTTCTTAAAAAGTGAAATGAAACACTTTTGTATGCCTTGGCAATTCTCATTTTGTTCTTTTGCTATAGACAATTTGATCTGATCTTTTATCTGGCACAATTTCTTTCTGTAGCCATAAGGAGCCAGCCACCAGGTGAGTATCTATTAATAGTAGAATGGTATGAAAGCTACAGCTACAGTCAGTGGTGGGCTGCTGCCGGTTGTAACAACTGGTTTGCCCAGCACCGAAAATGTGAGCATGTGCGGTCTTCTGCACATGTGCGCGGCTTCAAAAACACAGTGATATAGCACGGGATAGTGCCCGAGTGGGTGGGCAGGCCGACCCACAGGTTGCAACTACCAGTTCGCCTGAACCAGTCCGAACCGGCAGCAGCCCATCTTTGACTACAGTACTGCATCAAATAATAGAAGAAAACACTGATGTATAGTTTCTGTGTAGGACAGTAGTTCCCAACCTTTTTTTGGCCATGCCCCACCTAAGCATCTCTAAAATCCTGTCTCTCTTCCCCCCCCCCCCAACCCGGTGACATATAATTCTTATTATTTAAAAAGTGAACTTCTACTCACGTGGAAGAAGCCTAAAAGGCCATTAACTTGGTTTAAACAAGGTTCCAAAGAACATGGCATCCATGAAAGAGAAAAATAAAAGAATGAAAGACAGTAGAAATACTGAGGAACTTAAAAAATAATAGGATGAAGGGATATGAAAAAACCGCAAACAAAGTTTCAAAACATATAATAGAGAACTGAAATGCATAAATATAAAATAATTTTAATGAAATCTTTTTCTGTAATACTTTGATCATATTAACAATTATACATATTAAAATAAAGGTACCTAACAAATTCAAAATACAATTTGAGCTCATCTCAAGATCATGTTTACAACGCAATGCTATGCATGTCTACTTAGAAGTAAGTACCACTGTCTTCAATGGGGCTTACTAAGGGAAAATGTTGTAGGATTGCAGCTTTAGACTACTTAAATTAGTGAGATCCTTGTGCTTGATGCCTGCTGCAGAGAGATTTTATATTAGGCTCCAATTTAGTCAGCTTCATTCTCAAGTCTCCTCGTTCAGTGATATCCAGTCAATTTCTTTTCTTCAATAGCAAACCATTTACAGCACTAAAGCCACATTCAGCTAAATATGAAGATGGGAACGGTTATAGCAGTTTTCTTGCAAAGTAGGTTGAATTTAGTTTCTGTCTCATCACATAGCCGTACCATAATAATAAGAAATAACTATTAAAAGAAGATGGCGCAGAAAGAGGGAAACTTCAAAAATATTCATAGCTTAATTTATGAATAATAAGATTGTCATGAACGAAAGGGGGGTTGTAACCTATGACCCCCCTACTCGCCCGCTCGGTTTGAACCTGCAGCTTAGTGGGAAATGCTTTGGTAGTTCAGTAGGTGGAGGTGAATCGCACAGGCCTGGCAAGGCTCACGCATGCGTGGCCTAGCCCTAGATTGCTCTGAGAGGAAAAGTCTTGTAAAACACAGCCTGGGAAAACACAGCCTAAAAATAACTGTAAATCTAACAATTTCTTACTTAAACTTGGGTTCTGGTTCTGTATCCTCAGTGCTGGGCTTCCCACGGCAGTCATCCGCTCTGTCTCCCCACAGAACAGCTCTCCCTGCAATCACCCAGCAGCAAAGCCCACAGAAAAGAGAGAGAGAGAGACTCTGCCAGTCCCATGATCCTTAGTGAGAAAACACCTGATTGGCTGGCAGTTGCTCCTTCTTTCCCCCAGCTGGGATATCCTTTTCAGACCAGGCCCTAGGAAATGCACTTTAACAAAAACAACAATAGGTAAATGAAACACAGCTGTTTCATCACAAATATATAAGAACAATTAGCGGGCTTTCAAAAATTCAGTTAATAGCTCATTTTTGAATTGCCCTCATTAAAAATCAAATTGCCCACTGTGGGACATGGGGGGGAAATATTTATTTCTTAAATTGCTTTACTTTTATTTTAGTGTTTATGTGACGGTTTCTGTGAGCTTCCCATTTTCAAAATAATTTGGAAGCCAGAGATTCCTCACCCGTAAACTGATAAATTATAAATATTTAATCCACATGATTTATACTAAGCCTTATTTAAAATTGTTCCGGATATGTACTGGGATGAAAATATGGAATGAAAAACTATAAACGTATTGTGTTTTACTATAAAAACACAATAATGTAAAGTATGATGATATAGGTAGTCCTTTACTTATTACCACAATTGACACCAGAGTTTCGGTCACTAAGTGATAATATTATTGTCACTAAGTAAGTTGTCATGTGATCTGATCCAATTTTATGACCATTTTACCATGTTAAGCAAATCACTGGTTATTTAGTGAAGCATGTTGTTGTTAAGTGAATGTCATGGTTAATTAAAGCCGTTCTCCAATTGACTTTGTCATGTGACCACAAGATGTATAACCATCAGAAATGTGAGTTAGTGCCAGGTGCCCACATTGCGATCATTTCACCATCGTCGTAACTTTGAGGATGGTTCATAAGTCACTTTTTCCAAGGCCACCATCACTTTGAATTATCATTAAATGAATGATAATAGATTAATAGGTCTAACAATGAAAAATCTACAAGCCTGTTACAGTTCTATCATTCTTATCTTTAATTACAGATAGTATATATCCTTATGTCTTGCTTTGAATGCTGTAAAATTCATATCCAACACAAACCTAGCTTGATAAAATCATATTACAAATTCCTTAAAATAGACCTTTGAGTCTATATCAGAGTATTATTTATTCATACTTACATTTATACCACCCATCTCACTATTGAGCAAATCTGGGCAGCTTACAGTATCATAAAAATAGCAATATAAAAGATTAAAACATTAAAACATTAAAACATGGAACATTGCAAGTTAACATAGCTTGGGTAAAATAGAAACAAATGTATAACAGAGTGGAGGTGAGGTCTTTTCTACTAACCTTGGGGTTGGTGGGAGATCAACAGCCCTAAGCCAATAGGCAGAGCCATGTTTTCAGGTTCTTTCAGAAGGCCAGGAGGGTGGAGGCAAATCTCACTTCGAGGGACATAATGTTCTAAAGTACAGGAGCCATGGCAGAAAAGGCCCTACTCTAAGACCCACCAAGCAAATTTCCTTAGCTGACAGGGTCTGTACCATCCGCTTCTGCTGAAGTGGGATAGATCCATAAAAGGCCTTAGAAGTAATAACCAACTTTGAACTGGACCCAGAAGCGAACTAGCAACCAGTGCAGCTCGTGCAATAGCAGTGTTACATGGTCCACCTTAGGGGCCGCTAAAACTGTCTGCACAACTGCATTCTGCCAGCTGTAATTTCTGACTTTTCTTCAAGAGGATCCTCATATAGAGCACATTGCAGTAGTCCAAAAGATGACCAGGTCATGAGTAACTGAGTGCAAGGTCTCATCCTGCAGGACAGGGCGCAACACAAAGTTGCACAAAGTAGCCATGACTGCTATCTGTTCTACATGGTGAGTCTAGGAGAGCTCCCAAGTTGCACACTGGGTCTTCCTGGGACAATGCAATACTATCCAAGACTAAAGATGTTAAACTCTCAGATCCTGAGGCTCACATAGCCACCGTTTTACCAGGGTTCAGCTGAAATCTTTTGTCCCTATTCAGGGCCCCACAGTCTCCAGGCACCATGACAGTGCAGCAACAGCAATACTTGGGTCACCAGGTTGATTTCATTAGCATATTCATAATAGTTCATCTCATGGTATTGGATGATCTTACCCAGCAGCTTCATGTAGATGCTGAAAATGAGCGGAAAGAATACAGAGCCCTACAGCACACCATAAAGGAGTAGACATTGACTTGATATCTCACTTCTACAAACCCCAGTAGGAACCAGTGCAAAACTGCATCTCTCAGCCCCAAATTGTGTAGTTAACCCAATAAGGATATCAAAAAGGATACCACAGTATTTGAAAGCCGAGAGGTCAAGGACAGCATTATTCCCATCCTACTCTCGCCAGAAATCATTAATAGGTGCAACCAGTGTTGTTTTGTCCAATAATCAAACCTGAAACCTGACTGGAAGCAGTCCAGTTAGTTATATAATTAAGAATTAAGAAAAATCTTGATGACAAATTACTTGTCATTACTTTATCTTGTCAACTTTTGTAGTCCTAAAACATGTTTTTAAGTACAGTTCTCTTTTTAAATAAGTTTTCAGATAAATTTATTCCTTTTGGGAAGCTTTTCATTGAAACAAAATCTATGTCAGTGTTGTTTTACCATATAACCTGTGTGAAACATGAGTATAACTGTCTGATTGTTTCAGACATTTCAGGTGTCTTTTCTTTTCTTTTTTACCTTTTCAGAGCTCTTTGTTCTGAATCGCTCGTTTTTCGTTTCAAATCTCTCTTCAAAAACATTCTTTCCTTTTATTTTTTTAAAGGTGGGTGAGTCTCCAGCAGATGTAGCAGATAAAGCAGATAGGATTATTACAATGCTTCCATCTAATCCTAATGCAATAGAAGTTTACATAGGTACCAATGGAATTCTCAAGTAAGATTCCCCTTTTCTCTTTATATTAATGTTCTGCTTGTGTTTTTATTGAATGTTACTAAATGCATGTAGCAGTTCAGTAATTTCTCTAGACAAATAGGTTGTTGTGTTTGTATCCAGCTATCATCATGGAAAAATGTGCATGTTTCATTGCACACAGTTAATTATCGTTATAGTTTTCTAGAGCAATTTGATGTCTTACAAGTCCCAGCACATCTTATTAATGACTAAACTAGTTGGGACTCTTGGGATTATAGTTAACATTATCTAGATGTGTTATATTGTTTCCTATAACATTTATATCCTACTTTTCTCTGAGCGCTCATATGTAGTGGTTATGCTTAATTTTACAGATAGTCCTCAACTTACAACCATTTATTTTGTGATTGTTTGAAGTTACAGTGGCACTGAAAAAGTGACTTATGACCATTTTTCACACTTAACAACTATTGCAGCATCCCCATGGTCATGTGATCAGAATTTAGATGCTTGGCAGCTGATTCATATTTAGGACGGTTGCAATGTCCTGGTCACCGTTTCCAACTTTCTGACAAGCAAAGTAAATGAGGAATCCAGATTCACTTAACAACCATGTTACTAATTTAACTATTGCAGTGATTTTTTTAACAAAGAAAAATTGTAAAACTGTATCACTTAGCAAGAGAAACTTTGGGCTTAATTGTGGTCATAATTTGCGGACTGCCTGTATCTGCACTATAACAATTTTGTGAGAAAATTGGAGCTGAGAGATAAACTGATTGAAAATGGCTGCCTGAAGAATCTCTCACCAGCAAGATGGGTGACATATTAATTAATTAAATAAATAAATAAAAATTCTATGAAGCTGTACAGCATTTTCATCCCTGGAAATAGAGCCCTCTTCCACTTCTGCTCAAAGAAAAAATTGTCAATAATTGTGACAATAACTTTAGTATATGTTTTTGCAAGCTACAGATAATTTATTGTGAATTTATGAAATAGTGTCAAAAACCTTACTTATGAAAAAGTTTTACAAATTGGCTTGAATATTGTGACTTCTTCTGGAGTTATGAGCAAATTGTAGCAACATCAAAAGAGGTAATGTTAATTCTCTGCATTTTACTGCTTGTGAGTATACCTCAGGGTTTTGTTTTGTTTTTGTCTTCATTTGCTTCAGGAAAGTGAAGAAAGGTTCTCTATTAATAGATTCCAGTACTATTGATCCCGAAGTTTCAAAAGAGCTAGCTAAAGAAGCTGAAAAAATGGGAGCTGTTTTTATGGATGCCCCTGTTTCTGGTGGTAAGTCTTTGTCATTTTTTTCTCAGTTGCTTCCTTTTGGCTATTTGAACACTACTTTGGTCAAACATGTTCTTTGTGGAGAGGTGTACAGCTTGCTGAATATGAAAAAATATATATTTCATCTTTCCTCTCTTGAAACCTTTTTTTCAAGTCCATCTACAAATTCCTATTCATATGAATTCACAAGGTAGTCCTTCTCTTGCAACCATTTGTGTTCAGTGTTCAAAAGTTGTAATGGCGCTAAATGAATCAATTTTATGAACCCTACTTCTAATTTTTTTAAAGATACTTTTTATATTTTATTGTTTTACTATTATACTTTATCCATGGGCCAGACTTACAATTGATTATTTAGCAACCACTCAAAGGTATGACAGACAATCCCATAAACTAAGAGACAGTTATGGTTTAAGAAGAGTCATCAGGACTTTTGTTTCTTTTTTTTTTAAAGCAGCTAATTCACAAACTATACTTAATCCCTTTTGATTGAGGCATTTTTTCTCAATCTTGACAACTTCAGGATGCATGGACCTCAGCTCCCAGAATTTTCCCAGCCAGCCATGAAGTCCACACAAGATTCCCACAGTTGAAAAACATTGAATAAAGATTAAATGATCAATACCTTCCATTAGGTACTTTTAAGTAAACAGAAAATATATGCATGTATAGGTAATTTGAATTCCTCCATCCTGCCTGGATTCAGTTGCCTTCTTATTACAACTCTGTGAAAAGAGAATCTGGCATGTATTGTATTCTAAGTGTAAACTTAGAAACTTAGAAAGTCATCTTTGAGCACCTATATTTCTTTGTACGAACTTTGTTACTCAAGTGGCATTTGCAACACTTGCTAAAGTCAAAACTAAAACATTACTTTTGGAATGTGCAGAGATTGTGAGTGGATTTGTGTGTAATTTTTTTCCCACAATGGAAAAACTAATGGGTTAATGGAGCCATTTTTACTAACCTACTTAAATGATTCTTAGAAGATTTGAAACAGTCACTATAACGTGTAAAGGATGCTTATTTTTATAAGCTTAAAAAATTCAAGACTTGCCTATAGTACGGTACTTTAAAAAAAGAACTCAAACCTGTTTACAGACTTCATTTCAGACTCACTATCAAGTCAGTGCCTGTCTTTTAAAAATGCAAACATGTGCTCCTGGTCTTTCTATTTACTGAATCAGCACTCTACTGTTTCTACTTGCACTGAATCTAATTTATGATGTGACTATAAAAGCTAAAATTATTTATATGCTGGCATAGAAAGGCACCACTGTAGTTAAGAGTCTGTTGCCATTTCCATTATAAACCTTCCCTTGGAGAAATTTATAAGTTGGCATGTTTTTTTCTTTGCTTCAAGTTCTATGCGTGCTGTTTCCAAGTATAGCTGTGGGTTTTGTTTTGTTTCAAAATTTAATTTCAGTAAGATTGGGTCACTTCTATGTTTGACACAAATCTTGCTGATTTAATTTGTACTGATGGTAAGTATTTGATTAACTCTTGAAGTTAAGTTCTAAAATAATTGGAACTTTTACTAAATTTCAAAATGGCTTTTTGTGGGAAAACATTTCAATTTAACATTTCCATTTTTCTGGATAAACTTTTAAGCTAGGAAATCGCATTTAATAAGTATTCACAGATGAAGGCGAATATATGTGTCCCGGGATAATGTTGCAGCATCTAATCGGGGTCAGAAACCAAGACCAGAGAGTTTTGTCTTCCTCGCTTTCAGATTGGTGCTGGGGCCCATTTTAAGGGAACTTCTCTCTAGCAGAGTGTGTGCTGTTCTGTGGGCGGTATTTATAATGCCTTTCATGTGGCTTTTTAGATGTATGTTGTTTTGGGTGTGTGGTTGGCTTAAATTGTTAGCTGTCATTTGCTTGTGTTGCCCAGCCCTTGCCTCCTAGGTACGTGATAGGCTGGTGGTAAATGAGTACTCTTGTAGATTGATAGAGGCCTGTTTTCCAGGCTTCAATCACTTCCCTGGCTGCTTTTGTGCCTGCTCATCTAACAATCTTAGTAACTGCAAAATTGAATGTGTGTCCTTGTTCATTGCAGTGTGAGGATACCAATGAGTTCAGGTCTCCTCGTCTGACTGCTCGCTTGTGTTCTTGCAATCTGGTGGTTAGCTTCCTCCCCGTCTATCCTACATAGTCACAGGGGAAATCCATGCAGGGGATTTGATAGATTATATTGGAAGTATCTCCCACTTCCAAGCGATCTTTACAGTGCATAATTTGTCCTCATATGAGCTAATGGGTTGTGTGAGCTGCATTCTACAGCTTCTGAAATGTTTCTGACGTATGGCAGATCTGTTGTGTAGTTGGTCTTGTACCTTAATAAGTTGTTGTTATTCTTAGTTGCAAAGTCATGTCTGACCCATTGTGATGCCATGGACAACATTCCTCCAGGCCTTCCTGTCCTCTACCATCCTGCATCGTCCATTTAAGCTCATGCCTACTGCTTCAGTGACACTATCCAGCCACCTCATTCTCTATCGTCCACTTCTTTTTCCCTCAGTCTTTCCCAGCATTAGGCTTTTCTCCAGTGAGTCTTTCCTTCTCATTAGGTGGCCAAAGTATTTGAGTTTCATCTTCAACCTTAATTAATACTTAATAAGTATTAAATTTAAAATTAATTGATTTTTAAAAATACATCAAATATACCCATGGGTCCAGATAGATTTATTGGATAAGACAGTATTATTTAATCAGTGTTTGAAAAAATGTGATCTAGGGGAAATTTGCAAAGTTAAATAAACAAGTATTTTAAAATTCCTCAGTTTTAATTTCTAATACTGTACAATAAATATTGTAAGACTTGATCCAAATGAACCAAATCTCTTTGGAATCATCAGTCATTTTTAAGAATGTAAAAGGAGGTTAGAATTCATTAGAATTACAGTTTACTTGCCCCTAGTTTAATTAATTTATTAATGTTCTTGAATATAATGGTGTCCACCCTTTTCTGTAAAGACTTGGCAGCAAGTATAGAATTCTTCAGCCACCAGTTAACAAAGTAAGGCTCTGTATTTTTAGAGAAAAATACTAGGTCTCTTTTCCAAATTCCTTCAGATCCATTTTGTCTATTGCAGCAAGCTGACCTTTTAACTAATTATCATTTTTCACATAATGTAGTAGAAATTCACACACATACACTCCTTCATTCACTCATTAGTTAAAGACCTGGCTGAATTTATTTAATTGACTATATATCCACAACCGAGGAGTGTAGAGTGCTGGCTCACGTGATTAGGACACAGAACCGTCAATTGCCAAGTGTCCTAATTTTGATCATGTGACTATGGGATTTCTGCAAATGGTCGTAAGTGTGGAAAATGGTCATAAGTCACTTTCTTCAGTATCATTGTAACTTCAAATAATCATTAAATGAACTGTTATAAGTTGAGGACTACCTGTATACATATTATACATACTGGTGTAGGGAAATGCAGGGGTAGTCTTCATAAAAGTATGCAAGAATTGTTAGGTAAACTGCTGAGGGAAAGTAAATGACCACTCGGTTCTGGGAAAAGAAGGGGCATGAGAAACAGACACAACATATTCTCATGATGGTGGGCATGGCAGTCATGCCTGGGAGTGACACTGCCTTGCTCCAATGGGACCGAGTCTGCTGAAAAGTTCTTAAGTCCCACGTCTTCCTGTGTAGTCCAGTTTTTCGACTCGGTCTTCTCTGGGACAGTCGTGTCTGTAGTTTCTCTACTATAATTAGAGTATTTACTCTGCTTTTTTTTTTCTTTTATTTTCTGTTATTTCTAAATTGACTATTGCTAGAGCGAAAAAGGTTTTTACCAGAAACCGCTCTGAGCCGCTTGAGCGGCTTGGGTCTGCCGGCTGGCAGAACCATAGGCATTTTCCACCCACAAGCTTGCTCCGCGGCATTTCTGAGCCCTTAATATTTGTTTGGAGGCTTTTGGAGGTGTCTGGAGGCATTTGGAGCCGTTTTTGGAGCGTTTGAAGGGCTGTGAGCTGATTTAAGGGCTTCGGCTCTACAGCTGTTTGGCGTGAAGGTTTTTACCATGCCTGTGATTGTCGCGCCAAGCCGGACGGCTAGAGATTGCAGCGTTTCTCAAGGAGCATTACAACAGCAAGTATTTAGGATTTTTCAATCCCCTGGAGCTTGTGATTGCTTATTTTGTGACTGTTTGTGCTAATTAGTGCTGTGGGAGGCTTCTGTACCTTTAAGAATATCTGGAAATTGAAACTTGTAAATTCAAAATGGCCGACGCTGTTTCTTCTAAGGCTCCTTGCAAGTCATCCAAAAGAAAGCAGCAGCATGGGCCTGATCCAGGGGAGGGCTGCTCTTCCCACACACACCCTGCTGCTAAAATAGCTCACTCATCTGCTTCTAAAGGATCTAAATCCTCTAAAGATGAGGAAAGACGCCATAGAGCCATGGAAAGGGCTTTTAAAAAGGCTCAAGCTGATAAGAACAAAGCCCCAGGTCCTCCCCAGGCCCCCACCCTTTCTGTAATGGCTCCTCCCACAGAAATTCAAGCTGCTAGATCTCAGCCATCTCATACTCCTTCTCTATCTCCAGATAGATCATTGCAAGGTGATACAAATTTGGCAGATGCTTCCACTGTTTTTCCAGTATCCACAGCAGAGTCCAGCATTATTCAAGCTGAAACTCAGAATGTTGCTCTGACTGCTTCTGTTCAGTCAGGTTCTGAAGTGTGTGTGTGTGTGTGTGTGTGTGTGTGTGTGTGTGTGTGTGTGTGATCATTCTACTTCTGCCCAAGATATTCCAGAAATTTCTCCTGCTTTAGCTTCCCTCATTTCTATGGCCATCCGCCAGGGCATTGCTGAAGGTCTTCATCAGCGGGCTCCCTCTGAGGCTTCAGAGATGCTGAGTCATCAGAGTCATTCTTATAGGCATCAAGAATCCAGAAATACTGTAATTCATCAGGAATCTCATGGTTCTCCTCAATCTGAAAGTCAGGATTCTCTATCTGAGGGTGAGATCATTCCAGATCAAGA